CTCTCTCTCTCTCTCTCTCTCTCTCTCTCTCTCTCTCTCTCTCTCTCTCTCTCGCTCTGTTGTGTGTCTGTCTGTCTGTCTCCCCTCCTCTCTCTCTGTCTCCTTCCTCTGTCTGTCTCCTCCCTCTCTATGTCTGTCTGTCCTTCTGTCTGTCTTCTGTCTGTCTGTCTGTCTGTCTGTCTGTCTGTCTGTCTGTCTGTCTGTCTCTTTCTTTTCATGTTTGTTTTTGCTTTATCCGGCATGCATCAGTCATACATGCTTCTCTCACCCCACCCCACCCCACCCTACCCCACCCATTCGGAACTTATTTGACCCAGTATAGTCATCCAGAATCTGCATTCTTCTTTGGGCTGTATTTGGGCCTATTTGACATCATTCACGAAAAGGCACTTTTAATTATTCTGAGACCGAGGGGTCGACATTCTCGGTTACTATTTCTTGGTCCTGAAGACCACAAGTAGAGAATGCGGGAAATGTTGATTTGTCCTTATGCTACTTATGCGTCGTAATTTTATGGAGTAAAACTAACGAAAGATTGTTAACTGTAATACATCTCATTGTTCAGTATGGTTTACCTTTTTGACAAAGAGTGATCGTGCACGTAATTGGAATACATGTATCTCTCTCCTTCACCTGCCATCTAATTAGCTTATTTTTGCCTATAAGACAACGACTAACGAGAGAAATGAGAGTTATATATTTGACAAATCAGGATCATAATAAAGGCGATCCGTGGGCCAGATTCTTGAACAAAACACAATTTGTTTTTTCGTGCAGTTCGCTAAACAAGCAAAGGGGAAAGTGACACTTATGGTGGATGGTTCCAACCCTGACAAGCCCGCGTACAGGAGATCGAGGTAGGTCAAGAGAACAGTGTTTAGACCAAACATCGTCCTATATAGTATGTTCCATTTTCTCGGGGGTGGGGAGGAGGGGTCATGGACTTAACGAGTCAAAGCATAAATAAAAGAATGATCTTCAAGTTGACATTCTTTTCTAAACCTTTGTTGTTTTGAAAAGAATAGGAACGTTATATATACGACATTGAGTTTTCTTTACCACTTGCACTATACATTATTTCTAACAAAGAAAAAAACTCCCAAAATATTCCTTGGTTGGTTGGCGGGTTCTTTTGAGTGGTTTGCTTCTTCTTTTCTATTAAGCATCTATCATCTTCATTTCCTCTCTTTCTTTTTTGTTTTTGTTTATTACTCTCTTGTAACACCTCTAATCTCCGGCACTTGTATGACCTTATTGTGTTGCAAGTGCCGTAAAACACTTACTAAAACCAAAAAAAACAAAGCATCCACCCACCCAGGCAGCAATGTAACTGCATTTGAAACGTCACAGTACATCCCTTATTAATATGCAATATTTCTTAATTATTCTTCGTCTAGCTTTTGTTGTCTTTTCTCACTTCCAACTTCTCATTTCTAACTTCTAACTTCTTACTTTCAATTTCTACTTTCTAACTTCTAACTCTTAACTTCCGACTTTTAACTTCAAACTTCTAAATTCTAATTTCTAAATTCTAATTTCTAAATTCTAACTTCTAAAGTCTAAATTCTGACTTCTAACTTCCAACTTCTAACTTCTGACTTCTAAATTCTACCTTCTAACTTCCAACTTTTAACTTCTAAATTCTAACTTCTGACTTCTATCTTCTAAATTCTAAATTCTAACTTCCAACTTTTAAATCCAGTATTTTCTTCTTTGTTTTCCCAAAGTTTCTTCGGTAAACACGAGCTGCCCAGTATGTCGGACGCTGTGAATGAGGTACATGTGCTGGTCACACACACCCTGGACAAGCCCAAAATGTGAGTCACTCTCTGGTTGGTCTGTGGAGTATTTGAGAAAAGTCGATGAAGAGTTACACAGTAAACAAAACAAAACAAACAGATACAAACAACAACAACAACAACAAAAAACCGCAGACACAAAACACACTAAAAAAACAACCAAACAAAAAAACCCCCCATAACAAAACAAAGCAAAACATAGAAAAACAAAACGCAGATAAACGAATGCTTACCAGAATTCATAGATATAGTATTTGTATAGCGCAAATTCCTGGACGCAATCGGGACTTTGGGGTTTCAGAAATTCATTATATTTCCAAATACACGTAGGCATCCACTGGAAATACTTCAAGTGAGAACTACTGTACTTCATCCGTGCTCCCCCCCCTTCTC